AATACTTACAGTGATTGATGAAAAATTATTTGTGGCAAATAAATTTTTTTCGTAAAAATTAGCTGTCTTTATCTTTAGCAGACACATTATAGGCTGAAGGTGGGAATGCAAATAATCTATTGCATCAGTCACTCTCCCTAAAAATACTATAATTTATAAACAACCTTTTAGTCATAAGTAGGTCGCAGGAATTAGGCCATCCAATTCCCGCTTTTCTCTCCTATTATTAGTGAAAACAAAACTTATCACTACAATATGGGTTCAAAATCACTTCACAGAAACAGAAAAATTGCGATAGAAACTAAAAGAGAATTGAAGACAGTTAATTAATGATAGCATGCTAACAGTATATAATAATCTAAGTACCATCCATGGTTTAAAATTGCGCAATATGAGGCTCGCCTTGAGGCCTGCCTTTGCGCAATTCTAATAAAAAACGCCTCGATGCTTATGCCTCGAGTTTTTTTTATGAGGCATGCGCCTCAACTTGGTTGAGGCCCTCCTTGAGTCCCGCCTCGCCTCACTGACATGAGGCTTATGCCTCACGCTATATATATTAAAACTTACATAAATCTTGAAGTAAATGCCCGACATTGGACTCTATAGAAGAGGAGGAAGGGGAGAGAGCAGTTCACCATAATGATTATTCAAGTGAAGAACCCCTTAGTGATGACACTGCTGATGACTTGTGAGTTCTTATGTGATATGTCATTGCTATTTATTTTTGGAAATCGGAATTATATGTTAATGAAAAGAATATTGGGATTTCGAAAAGATAGAATTTTGAGTTTAACTATATTTCATGTTGTCTTATTATTGAGATATTTTGATTTCACTTCATTTCTTATACTTTTTTATGTTTTATATTATTCACTCATTAGTATATAACAAATTTATCATTTTATGTTTACGCAATCTTTTGATTTTGAGGCTTACGCCTCAAAATGCCTTGAGGCTTACGCCTCACCTCACGAATGAAAAACGCCTTAATACCCGAATACGTAATTTTAAACATTGGTACCATCAATTGGGGTAATAACGCTAAAACTAAACATAATCACTTCGAAACCTGAAATTTAAAACTAGCTATCACCTATCTCCATAGAAAAGGTAAAATCTTTCAATCGTCAAAAACAAATTTAAGGGGGATAAAAACAATTTTCTAATACAAGGAAACTATCACTCAAAGGCCCTTAACAAAAAGCAGAGGGAAAATTAAACGATGAAAGTTTCATGAAATATTTTCATACCCAGCGGAACGACTCTGATAGATCTCTTTCATAAACATAAGCCCTATTTGTTTCAAAATCAATATATAGAGAAAGATGGCTATAAATTAGACAACAAATAACAGTAAAATACAATGAATTTATCAAGAAATACTGTATATTATCCTTGAATTTTGAACCTTTTAGCATTTAAATCAAGCTTAAGTATTTCACAAGATGGAATAGGATACCTATTATGTGTGGAATCTAATTGTGTTTATCAATCTAGTTATTCTATTATCTCAGACTTCAAAGCTAGTCGTGTGGAATTTTTTTTTTTTTTTTTTTTTTTTTTTTTTGGGGGGGGGGGGGGGGGTTAAATTCCAAACTGAATGCCGCAACGCTAAGTGTTTGAGAGCTGCAGCATTGTCAAACAGAGGTTGGCCGTTGCAGCATCCCAAACTACTGCAACAGTGCTATGAAACGGACTACACAGTTTATTTACTTGGCTTTCTCTTGTATTTTTAGTTAGGGCAAGGGTGAGAATGGTGCATGTGAGAAGAGAAGTAAGGAGAGAGAAAGAAAGAGAGAGAGAGAGAGAGAGAGAGAGAGAGAGAGAGAATAGAGATTTGTATTTATTTCTCCCAATTTTCATAGTGGATTTCTTAGTGTGGTGTGGCTCCATGATTTTTTTCCTATTTTAAATTTTTCCACGTTAAATCCTTGTATCATTTATTTTTCCTCTGCTTTCGTTATTGTGGTGTTTATTCCTCATCTTCCCCAACAATTGATATCAAAGCAAGGTTCTTCATATTAAGTGGGAGTAATGACGAAAGAAGCAAGGTATAAGATTGAAAAGTTTAATGATTCAAACTTCGCATTATAGATGATGCAAATTGAAGATTTATTGTATCATAAGAAGTTGTATTTAACATTAAAAGGAATCACCAAGAAGCCGAATTCTATGCTTATGGAGGAATGGGAGATTCTTGACCGGACTGCACTATATTTGATACGACTTTCACTTTTCTTATCTATTGCATTCAACATTGTAAATGTGAAAATAACAAATCATCTCATGGTTGCACTGACCAAAATGTATGAGAAGTCATCGGCCTCAAACAAAGTATTCCTGATGAATAAGTTATTCAATATAAAGATAATTGGACAGCACTCCAATGGAGGAACACCTGAATAATCTGAACACTATGATGAGTCAATTGTGTTCAGTAGGCATCAATTTTGATGATCATGTGAGGGTATTGTTAATGTTATCTTCATTTCTAGAAAGCTGGGATGAGCTTGTTACTATTGTGAGTAACTCCTCAGAAAATTTAAAGTTTAACTTTGAGAATATTATGGGGTTAGTGCTTAATGAAGAGGTTCGCATGAGGGTGAGAGGTGAATCCTTAAAATCTACTCTAAATGTTGAAGCAAGAGGAAATGGGTTTAGAGAGAAATCAAAAAGAGGGAGATCTAAATCCAAGAGAGGAAAGTAGAAAAAACGTTGTGTGCTGGAGCTGTGATAAGAAGGGTCACTTAAAGAAGGACTGTACAGTTCCAAAGAAGGGCAAAGGTGGAGGTAAAGAGAAAAATCATTCTTAAAGAATGATTGTATAGTTCCAAAGAAGGGAAATGGTGGAGTTAAAGAAAAAAATCATTCTGCAAATGTATTTGCAGAAAAATGTCAATCATATTCTTTGATTTTATCTCTAGATAATTCTGAATCTTGGGTGATAGATTCAAGTGCTTCTTCCCATGCAAGTCCTAACAAGAAGGTATTCAAGAATTATACTAAAGGTGATTTGGGTAAAGTGTATCTTGGGTACAACACATCCAGCAGCATTGTTGGACAAAGAGATGTTAATATTAGAATGTTGGATGGGTCAATTAAGAGACTCAAGGATGTTAAGCATGTTTCTTGTATGAAGAGGAGTTTAATTTCTGTGAGTAAGCTTGCAAACTCAGGTCATGTGACATCATTCATAAGAGATATGTGGAAGGTGACAAAAGGGACTATAGTTATAGCTCGTGACAGTATTATAGTCACCCTATATATTATCAATAGAAGAGCAGATTATATTAGAGTAGTAGATTCAGATGTTGATGGAGGTTTTTGTCATCGAAGGCTTGGCCATGTGACTAAGAAAGGTATGCATTAACTTCTTACTAAAGGAAAGATTTATGGTTTAAAATCTATAGATTTATATTTTTGTGAAGATTGTGTATATGCCAAGCAACATAGGGTGAGTGTTTCAAATATTGTTCAAATATCAAGTAAAAGACGTTGGAGTTAGTGCATACCAATGTATGGGCTCATGCTCCAGTTACTTCTATAGGAGGATCTTTATATTTTATCACATTTATTGATTATAACAGTAGGAATGTATTGGTGAACTTAAAACACAAGTCAGATGTATTTGATGTTTTCAAGAAGTGGAAGGCCTTTGTTGAGCTTGAGACAGGTCTAAAATAAGTGTCTTGGATCAGATAATGGTGGCAAGTATCATAATAAGAAGTTCAATGAGTATTATGCTTTAAATGAGATCAGACATGAGTTCACTGATCCAACAACACCACAGCAGAATGGTGCTGCAGAGCGCATAAATAGAACTATCACTAAGCGTGCCAGAAGCATGCGAACCAAGCAATTATGGATAGAGGCAGTGAATACTGCAGTTTATCTAATCACTCGTTATCCTTCGATTCCTCTGAATAAGAGGTTACCTGAGAAAGAAGCCTAGAGTGGAAAAGAGGTTAGTATCTCTGTTTAAAATTGTGCAACAAAAGGCGCGCCTCTGCGCAATTCTTCTTAAAGGCACCTTGAGGCACATGTAATTTGGAGCCTGGAAGAGGCGTACGCCTCACCCTGTGTGAGGCGCGCCTCAATTGCGCAATTACGCAATAATGGGTGAGGCATACGCCTCATCCAGATGGCCCCACCTACTTAAAATGACTCAATTTTTTTCCCTACACCCGTTCGGCCCAAGCTTTTCCCGATAACGCTCCACCTGCAAGCTCCTGTTCGCGAAAGAAGGATCCCGCACGGTCGGCCACCCTTCCCGTCGCCTCTCCCGCTGGCGCCGCCTCTCTCCGGCGAACTTGAAGTGTCCGGCCGCCTTGTAGGAGAAGTCCATAAACAATTTTAGGTATTTTTTTTAGTTTTTGGTTAGATTTTTGAAGTGAAAGAAATTATAGGGTTTTAGATTTTTTAAATTATTTTATGTGATTTTGGATTCTTTCATTAGGGATCATGGTTCGAGGCAAGGAAAAGGGGTCTTCATCATTGCGGAGGGACCCTTCTTGGAAATATAGTTACAAGTTGACATTGGCGGCGGAGAGAAGAGCTATGTTTATTTAAAATGTAATCTTTGCGATAAAGTGGTGAAGGGAGGTGTTACCCGCATGAAGGAACACCTATCATGCTTGCACAAAAACGTAGCACCCTGTGCAAATGTGCCAGAAAAGGTGAAGGAGGAAATTATTGCTTATATAAAGAAAAGTACCACGGCTAAACACTTGCAACATGAGCAATTTGATGATAGGGTCGAACATGACGCTTATTTTGGGAGCGAGAGTGAAAAGTGCTCTTCCTCCATTATACATAACAGAGGTGTACGGGGTCCTATAGATTAGTATATGACTAATCCATAAGAGGATAGAGGACAAGCATAAATGATGCCTGCGGGCGGTACTAGAGAGGGTCGACGCCAGGTTTGCATGGATATTTTGAGGGTTTTTTTTTTAAATGTCATACCTTTTAATGTTGCTACGTCGCCTGCCTACTTCAATATGCTGCGGTCTGTAGGGTTGTATGGGAGAGGGTTGAAGGCACCTTCTATGTATGAGTTGGGAACATGGATTTTAAAGGAGCTGCTAAACACAGAGCGTAGCATTGAGGTGATTAAAAGGACATGGAATGAGACTGGAGTAACCATTATGTCAGATGGATGGTCTGACATAAAGAGCAGGAGCTTGATTAACATTCTTGTGAACAATCCCTACGGCACAGTGTTTTTACGATCGGTTGAAGCTTTAGATGAGGTGAAAAATGCTACATTCATTTTCAATTTACTTGATGGTGGTGGGGAGCAATTGGTTGTCCAGGTAGTGACTGATAATGCCAGTGCATACAAAGCAGCTGGTCAGATGTTGATGGAGAAGAGGACACACCTATATTGGACCCCCTATACAGCACATTGTATCGATCTTATTTTGGAGGATCTTGGTGACTTACCTCAGCACAAGAGTGCTCTTTCTAGGGCGAAGAAGATTACAAAGTTCATCTACAATCACTCTTGGGTCTTAAGCTTGATGAGAAAGTTTTCAAATAAAGGAAATCATTCGCCCTGCAACTACTAGGTATGTTCTTAAATTTGTTCATTGCAAATCATTCCTACTGTATATTCTTAGTTCTTATATTTGTGCACTGTGAATCTATAGGTTTGCCACATCTTATTTGACACTGTAGAGCTTGATAGAGGTGAGGCAACCTTTGGAAGTAATGTTTACATCTACTGAATGGCTTAACTCTGCTAGGGGAAGAAAAGTGAGGGGAAGGAAATAAGAAAGATAATTCTGAATGATAAATTTTGGGCTACTGTGACCTATGCCATTTTGAGCACGAGACCCTTAGTGCAAGTACTGCGATTAGTGGATGCAGAGAAGAAACCAGCTATGGGTTTTATTTATAATGCTATGGATAAGGCCAAGGAGTTGATTGCATACAACTTGGGAGGAGAGGAGGCAAGTTCTAGGGAGATTTGGGATATCATTGATGCTCGGTGGGAGGTGCAGTTACACCATCATCTACATGCAGCGGCATATTATCTCAATCCTCAATTTCAATATTCAGAGAAGAAATCTTCAAATCCTGAGGTGAAGCTTGATCTATATCATTGTATGGAAAGACTAATACCGGAGCAGGCAGATAGGGAGCTTGCAGATTTACAACTTGTTCTATTCCGGAATAAATAGGGTTTTTTTGGTTTGAATGCAGCAAAAGCAACAATTTCCAAACGGTCTCTAGGTATAATTATTTTGGTAAATGCAAGATACTTAATTCAGTTCTAATTATATTTTTTCTAGAAAACAGTTGAATGGTGGATCCAATTTGATGATTCCACCCCTGAGTTAAAGAGTTTTGCTGTAAGAGTGGTTGGCCTCACTTGTTCTTCTTCTGGGTGTGAGCGAAACTGGAATACATATATTCAAGTGCAAACAAAGAGAATAAATCGGTTATCAACACTCAGAATGAACTCCCTCATATATATTATGCATAACAAGAGGTTAAGAGAGAGGAGATTGAGAAATAAGGGATTGAAGGATGATGAGGACCCATTGGTGTGTGATGATGTGTCGTCTGATAATGAGTGGTTCATAGATGATGAGACAGATTTATCATTATCAGACTTACAGCTAGAAGATCTAAGTGTAGATGTCTTGAGGGGCGAAGCAGATCAAGTGGGTACATCCACTAGTGCCACATCACACACATCCACTAGCTCTGCATCACAACAATCAAGTAAAGGTATTGCACAACTTCTTATATGCTATTGCATTACATTTATGTCAAGTGAGCAATTAACATGATAATGATATTTTCTCTTATTGAACAAGGAAGAGAAAAGTGAGTCATATTGAAGATGATGATGATATGGCATTCATAGATACAATTGGAGAAGAAGATTTCCTTGAAAACCCATTTAGTGATGGGATATGATTGCATTTTATTTGTTCTTTGTACTTTGGGAGTTTTGTTAAACTAATATTTTGTGATTTTATTGCATTTATTTTCTTACTTTCCACTATTTTCATATATCATTTAGATGTTTTTATTGTAAGATAGAATATTGCTATTATTTTCCTGCTAAAACTCTTAATTTTTTATTTACGCGATTTTGTGTCTGTGAGGCTTACGCCTCAGACTGCCTCGAGGCTTACGCCTCGCCTCATGGACGAAAACCGCCTCGAGGCTTAATTACGCAATTTTAAACCTTGGTTAGTATATTTCATCTCAAAGTTTTTTATTGTTCATTCTATGTTCATATTGAAGCAGGATCTTGGAGTAATCTTGATCTAAAATCTATCAAGTATACATTCATTGGATATGGCTCAAATGAATTTAGCTACAAATTCTGAGATTATCATAATAAAAAATTCATCATGAATGGGGATGTTAAATTTAGTGAAAGTGAAATATACAAGAATAGAAATGAGACTCCTGAAGATTCTTCCAAATATGTTGAAATTAAGTATGATGATAAAGCTGATGAAGTACAAAGAGTACCTCGAACTCTTGCTACTGAAATAAAGAGATCAATCAAAATACCAAAGCCAATACAAAGGTATTCTCCTTCCTTGTACTATTTATTGTTGACAGATAGTGTTGAACTAGAGTGCTATGATGAAGTCATTCAAATTGATGATTCAAATAAGTGGAAGCAAGCCATGGTTGATGAGATGCATTCACTTGAATTGAATCAGAATTGGGAGTTGATAGAGCTATCAAATGGCAAGAAAGCACTAAAATTGTCTTAGGTAGAATATGTTGTAAAGATGCTTCAGAGATTCAACATGAGTGAGGCAAAGCCAGTTTACACTCCCTTAGATAATCCCTTTTAGTTATCCAAGGAAATCACCTAAATCTAAAGCAAAGAAATAACAACTGAAGATGACTGTATGCTTCAGCAGTTTGAAGTTTGATCTATGTTATGATCTGCACAAGATATGATATATAATATGCAGTGGGAGTAGTCAGGAAATTTATTAGCAGCCTAGGAAAACTTCATTGGGAGCCGATTAAGTGGATTCTCAAGTACCTGAGAAGATCAGTTGACAAAGCTCTTTACTTTGGTAGTACAAGTATTGATTTACAGGGTTATGTAGATTTTGATCTTACTAGAGATCTTGATGGTAGGAGAGTCACAACAAGTTATATCTTCACTTTGGAAAATACTACACTCATTTGGGTTTCCAAGTTATAAAGGGTTGTTGTACTCTTAACTACAGAAGCTGAGTACATTGCTATCACTGAGGCTAGCAAAGAGATGATTTAGATGCAAAGTTTTTTGATAGAACTTGGCAGGGGGCAAAGGAATGGGATGTTGTATAGTGATAGTATGAGTGTTATACATCTAGCCAAGAATAATGCATTCCATGACAGGATGAAGCACATCCATCTTCGGTATCATTTCATCGGGTTACTTTTGGAAGATGGTCAGTTATCTTTGGAGAAGATAAACATGATCGAGAATCCTGCAGACATGATGACGATGACGGTGAATTTTAATAAACTGAACCTAAGTTAGTCTTCATGGAGGATACAAGCAGGTATGAGCCACACTACCGGTACTACGATTGGTGTTACATATCCAAAGAAGGATTGATTTCAACTAGTTCCAAGTGGGAGATTGTTGTGTGGAATCTGATTGTGTTGATCAATCTGGTTATTCTATTGTCACGAACCTCAAATCTTTTTTTTTTACATACCTAAGCTTCCCGACGATGTGTTCCTGAGCACCCAGTGCTGAACGACAGAGATCAAAGCACTATAGTGATCAAGATATGGCACCGTAGCGAGCCAAGACAGAAACTAAGCACCACAACGCCTAGTGTTTGAGAGCTGCAGCATTGTCAAACAGAGGATGGGCGCCGCAACGCCTCAAACTGGCGCTGCAGTGCTGTGAGACGGACTAGATGGTTTTCTTTCTTGTTTTTTGAAGGGTTGTGTCCCTTGGAGTTTATTTACTCGCTTTTTCTTATATTTTCAGTTAGGGCAAGGGTGAGAACGGTGTATGTGAGAAGAGAAGGAGATAGTGAAAGAGAAGAGAGATCTATAATTATTCTTCCAATTCTCTTAGTGGATTTCTTGGTGTGGTGTGGCTCCATAGTTTTTTCACTATTTTAAAATTTTTCACATTAAATCCTGGTATCATTTACTTTTTCGTTGTTTTTACTTTTTTTCTCATTTTGTTATTGTGATGTCTACTCCTCATCTTCCCCAACAATACCACCATTGCCAAAGAAATCATTAGTATTGAATTACTACAAATTAATGCAACAGTGTAGGAAGAATGTGTTCACAACCTACAATAAACAATTGGCTTACATGGCATTCAATCGTATGAAAAATGAATTAAACTTTTCTTACACACCTTGCCCTAGTAATGTAATAGTCAAATTTGATAATGGATCTTTTTCAACCATTGTTCGTGGAGGGTGCATTCGAGTGACTAATTTGATGTTTTATGCTATTTTTTAGGTTCCAAAATTTAAAATAGTATGGTATCTATCAAAAAATTAACCAAATATAAAAAAGATAATGTTATGACAAGAACGACAAGAACCTCCAAGTTTTCCCCTTCTCAAAATTTTGCTTCAAACTCATTTTATAAATAAATATATTCACTAATTTTCTTAATTTTTTCTATTATGCTCGATGCCTTGTTTTTCCTAGTTGTTAATTTGGAAGGGTGTTGCTAAATGATTTGGAAAGGTCACTGTTCAAAAAGGTATTTGAGGTGTACGTCTCAAGATTTAAACCCCATTATGTCCAGTTAGGCGAACGCATTATTTGTCTGAGGCTTATGCCTAGAGGAGTTTGAGGCAAAGCCTTAATGAAGGTAATTAAAAAAGATAAAAATACTATATTATAATATAAAATTAATATAAACTGCATTACATTATACTTATACCACATATACCTAATGCAATCATTGTTGCTCAACATTAACGTTGTGAGGTCTATAGCCGAGAGTGAGAGCGAGTCTTCTTTGTGCAAGAGCGAATTGTTTTCTTCATGCAAGTACAAGAGACCAGATGGGCATATCGATCATACCAAGCCTCTCACGTGAGAACAAGATCTCTTCAAAGTACAAGAAACAAGAGTGATCAAGTCTCACAAGACCTCTTCGAGGGCAAGGACGAGAGTAATTGAGCCGGAGGTGCATTTTTGTCAAGAAGTAAACAAGTAAATCATTATAAAATTTAATTTTCTTTGATGGAAAATTCTTCTAAATATAAATTTTGAAATTGAAGTGGTATCAATTTTACAAATATATTTTAAATTTTTTTATTTTTTTCATCATTGTCTTGAATTCTGCTTCAAACTTTCATTTCATGTTAATATTTATGATTGAGATTTGTAGTTTGTCTTGATGATGATGATGAATTAAGTAAATATCAAGGTTATTGAAACCGGATTAGACCCGTCGGTTCAACCATGAACCGGTCCGACGGGCGGTCCGGTCAGCCGAAAAAACCGGTAAAAAATACGGCCGAACCGGTCGGTTTTAAAAGAACCGGATGGTTTTTAAAATAAAAAATCTAAGCCGTTTATCTGCGATCGAATGGCGTATGGAGATTGCGGTTCGATATTAGACTATTAGTCGCTTGTATGCCCTAACATAGGTGACTCCAAACTCCATACGCGACTCCTCCGACCTTCAGTCCTCATTGCGGTCCATCTAGAACGACTCCTCCGACCTCCCAGCCGTCGGCGCATGCCTAACCTGACATATTGGATGCCTGTTTTGACAAACTGCTTCGACAACCAGCTTTGAGTCATCTTTGGCCGCCGACCAGACCCCTAGAGCTCGGACATCGCAAATAGGAATCATGAGTAATTATTTTCACATTATGCTTGCATTCCTTCTCCTAATTTTATGGATAATTATTCTGTTTTATTCTAAGACTTTTATGTAGACCGGATCTTTCATTTCCCTAAATTTAACAGTTTGCTTACAAGCTTCCTACATTCACTTGGTATAATTTCATTCATGTATTTTTTGTCGTGCTTTTACAGTCTTGTATAAAATAAAATTATGATATTTCATTATTTCTTGCATAAAGTTGCTTGATACTATATAAGAATTCATATTCCTACCATGTCTTAGAGAAGCTGTTCGTGCAAAATAGGGAGTTTTCAATATTATGCTATCTGCTTCCCCTTTTTGGAGCAATAGAAGAAGTTTTAG